AAAAGACTATTATATTACTTACAACTTTATAAAAGACTATTATATCACTTACAACCTGCTTCACTTATTGTTATTTTTTTTTATATATAATTTGTTTTTAAATCTTTAAAATACGATACTAGGAAAAAAATATATGAAGTAAATAGGTACAGTGATTAATATCATTATCATTTACAGTACAGATACCCTGGTAATATTTTTGTTGTTAAGATGGGACTGGATTTGGACAACATAATCCCCAGGACGAGGAGGACATTGATTCTCTCATACAACACCATCACCAGATGCAGGAACGACTTGCTGATGAAATGCTGATGTTGACAAGGAATCTGAAAGACAGTGTGAGAGACTCTGGTAGAATAGTGAAGGAGGATAGCAAGGTAAACAGTTGTAGTTGATACAGGTGTTAGATACCTATAAACAGGTCTTATAATGATGATGGTAGGTGTTGAATAATAGAAAAAAATCAAATATATTTGAAGATATAAAAGTTTATAAAGAATAACTTTCTTCAATTAAAAAATTAGAGCACTGTTTCTTTGTCCTATGTATTCAAAAAAGAAAGAGAAAATTATCTCTCTATAAACTTTTTGTCAAACCATGCTTGGTTTAATTTATCTTGAAAAAGAGCTGTCCAGGATATTGTGCTCAATACCATTCTAATGCAAAAGAAACTTTCAACTTCAAACCGGTGACAATGTTTTTGAAATCAAGTTTTGAATTATGTATTGTTAAAATTCTCTTTGCAGAAAGTGATGGAAACGACCAAGCTGGCCGACGTGAACTATAACAAGCTAGCCGCGGTCAGTGAGAAGGTGGAGAAACACACGAAGGGCTGTGACTGGTGTATGTGGGTTATGCTGGCTGTCGTTATCATGATGTTTTTATTTATGATCATGTTCATCAGACTTTTCCCTAAGAAACATTACATCTATGACGAGGATTTATGATTAAAGATTTGTGTAACGTAATACAGTACGGGAGTTGTTGTACGAAAGACGTTTGTGAGTTATTTATAGAATAGTGTTTGGTTTTGTGGAATTATATTATACTATAAATGTAGTTATATGTTAACAGCTCTGGTGCCCTAAAAACACCCCCATAAAATATACCTCTCTGGAGGAATATTTAATGATTGAAATTTATAAATCAGAACATTGATCCCTTACTGATAGGAGTGACCATGAGTTAATGCATGGGTTCTTTCTTCGTGTATCAATCTGTTATTGTTTTGATAAAAAATGTCTTCCTATGCTGGAATCCTCTTCTTCTTCCAATAATCTGCATACCACCTCTGGTGTATTGCCGCAGATGAATAAAGGTGCTGCATTAATATTCCAGTGAAAATAAATTTTATAACATTTCTACTGCCATTAGTTTTACTATATGATGATAGGGTTTACTGCTAAAATAATCACATTTATAGTACAATATAGGTATAGGTTTTAGAAGTATGCAAGGATGAAATAGGTGTGTGCTACTTGAGAATTATGGTAGCTGTATGTATAATTTGTTTAAAATTCAGTGACTGTACAGGGCATGTTATATTTATATAAAAGTAAAGATTTTAACATGCTACAAATGTTACATATAACAGTAATATAAAATTTAATTATTAGAGGTTTCTTAAATTTTCAATAAAGATCAAGATTTGCTGGGTGTCCTTCTAAATTCAGTAAACACAGAAAACCAATAGTGAGTGGGAACCTTTTCCTCCTATATTATTCAAATTATATTCAAAAAGTCTGTTTATACATAACTCCAGTTTCCATCCAAGAGAAGATTGCAAAGAAACCAATCACTACCATTACAAATATAAATAGTACAGTAGGACGTGTAAAGCAAAATGGGACTTGTCATGTATTGTGCCTAGAATTCTTACAGCTTCAGTAGACTAACTAAATTATTGTGCCTCAGAAATTACAAATTAGCTGTATTTTTACAACAGCAATAACAGTATATATCTATAGACAGTATTTTACCAGTGGTAAGCCCAGGAGGTCATCCTTACATAGTGGGTAGTTCTGGACCTTACCAATCCCAGGAAGATGGTCCTCCATTATCCTTGGTTTATAGTCCTTAGAGACAGTTTTGGTTTCCAGGCTATTCCTTAACTTGAATCCTGTATCCAAGAGGGGTTGATTGCCAGACATTACCTTCATGTATAAAACCTTTCAAAAACAAGATTGGCTTAACTGTGAACCAGAACTTATTACTGGTAAATGGTTTCATAAAAGTATGTCCTCCCTCATGTGATGATGAGGTGCCAGCATGAATCTCCTCCTTGTTTATCGGTGTAATTGGATCTGTTATTCATTGACATACATAACATGTACAAATCATCAAGTGTGTGAACATTGTATTTTTGACCTTTTTGTTTTGTGATTCATAATATGACTCTGCATGGTTGATTGTCTGGAAAATAATCAATGCATAGTTCACAAATTAAGTAATTTTTATTTCTCCCAGACATCTAAAACTATTTAGATCACTTAATTATGAATAATGTATGCCCTCTCTGTCTTCAAAATGATATCAGAATAAATTTCTGATGAACAAGTTGATCTTTTTAACTGACACATCAGGCAAATTTGTCAGTTGTGGTACAATTTTTTAATGGTTGAAGCCAGAGGTTCTAGATACCCAAGTTCAAAAAGTAATATGTGTAGCAATGTGTTAAACATTTCATGACTTTTAACATTATATTTTTGATTGAAAGAATAAAAATTGGATTTTTACGTAAATCATTGAGGGAGGACCAACGTTGATTGGTGTATTGTAAAATGTGTATTTAAGTGTCTGATGTACATCCCTGTTTTAGTTGGTTTAAACCATATTTTATTCGTGTCAATTAACATGTACAATTACA